GCCTTGAGGAGAATGTGAGTTTTTAGAGAGAAGTTTTAGAGAGAAGGTCTCTGGGTCTGTGAGCTCCTTTCTCTCCTAGATTTCTTTGTATGATTCCTTTTCTCCTCTAGATCACTAATGCCTTCTGTCTTTTCTTGAAATTCAGATTAGAAAGCTTGCTTTGGGTAGATTGAAGTTCCGCGTTGAGCTACGAAGGGGAAATTCTACTTCTTGTTAGTTGTTGGCTATTTCGAGCCAATTTTCAGGTGAGGGAAGCTAGAATGTTTGTTATTTAGGTTGCATGTGAGTTTATAAACTCAATAGGTGCATGAATGTTGAGAATCCATAGAAGGATTGAAGAAAATCTCATTTTTTGGGATTTTGAGAAAAAGGAGGATTTTGATGATTTTGATGCATAGGTTGGATGCATGTGAGATCTAAGCTTATTTAAGTTGTATGGAGCCTATGCATTGTATTTTTGTGTTTGCATGTGGTTGGATTTGTTGGTTTGGATGAGAGTTTTGAACTCTCTGATTGGGATTTAGGCCGGGCGCAGGTTGAGCGCGCCGAGCGTGGAAGAGCTTAGAGCTCTTGGGTTGGTGTTAGGCTAGGCGCGAGCTGATTGCGCCGAACGTGAATATGTTTATAAATAATTGTTTTAAATTGATGTTTATGCATGTTTAAAGTCGAAGTTTAGATCATGTATGTATGATATATGATGTATGGTGAGGTGTGATTCATATGTATGCTTTGTGATGATACGTATGAATGTTTGAATATGATATGACATGTGTATATGTCCATATGAGTATGTTTATTGATCATAATGGTGGGTAGACTATTTATGATGTACGATGCATTATTGCATGTGATGTCTTATGACATGTGTATGATTGTTGATCATCATGGTGGGCAGACCATGTATGATATATGATGCATGATTGCATGTGATGCCTTATGGCATGAGTCTAGCCTAGGACTTGAGGAGAGGAAAAATATTTTTGAACTGGAAGAGCTCACATAGAGTCTTTTGAGAGTGGTGCTTGGATAGGCCACTGATATATTAGAGTGGTGCTCAGGGAGGCCACTGGATTTGGGAGAGTGGTGCTCAGATAGGCCACTGGGTTGGGTGAGTCTCCTCTAAGTCCTTAGCTAGTGTTGGAGCGGGGTATGAGGTCGAGGGTTATTCCCTTAACCAAGTACTCGGGAAGGTGCGTGGATCCTTGCAGATAGTCGGTGGGCGAACTCCACAATTGACTTGGTTATGCATGCCAAGGTCGTGGTAAGCCCGTACC